GGGGAATTCGTGGGAGTTGAAAGTCCACTCATCTTAAAGGGGCCAAGTTTGGACAACACTGGCTTAGATAGCTGAAAGTATGTTCGTTTTAAAATACTGTTACCTTTCTCAAGTCCTGTTTTTTAATCAGTGTACAACCTCTCTTTCATCTTAAAACTGTAAATGCTACATATGGTAAATAAGTATGGGAAGGTCACCTATCTTTAAGTTTCTGACCTGTTCTCCAGTGAAAGTAACATGCTGTTATGCGCCATATTAAATTAAATCCTGATGTAAAAATGTATGCAGTGGGAATGTTTAGGATTAGTCTGTAACATTTGGAATATTTTAAAATAAACATTTTTGGTAACCATGAGAGAGACAAGAACATGATCAAAAGTATCAACGTACCCTTTAATTTGAGTACATTAATCTATTTCCAGAAATATTTTGACATTTATTTGTTCTAGATTTAAATTTTGGAAAAGAACCTTTGATATCTAGACCAGCCAGTCACCGGTTAGCTTAAGTTACTTTCACACTTTTCACTTCACACTTGCTGTAGTCATATCAATTTTTTTATTGCCATCACTATGAAAAGTGTAAATAACATATTTTGACCAGGCAATTGGATGTATCTTGGGAAGTTCCATTGTGCTCATTACATCCTACAAATGTCTATTGCCTGTTTAAGTAAGCTTCTTTACCCTTCCCACTTCAGTTTCACTGTAGAAAACAGCAGCTGCAGCCACAATGAATGCAATGTGTAAAGTTAAACAGACAGCGATAAGGTTCCTAGAATTGTGAACACATTACTTTTATTATTGTTGAATTCTGTTACAGGGAAGAATAATGCTGAAACTGAAGGCTGGGTAGTTTCTTCAGAATCCTGTAGCTTTTTATCAATTGGTGCAGAGTAAGTTCATAATTCATTTCTTTACAGAAGAATTAAAAGCAAATTGGTAATTTCTTCATTGTTTAAGCCAGAACTGGACACTTGGCATCTGCCACATTGAAGTACAGCAGTATTTAGTTTTAAGACAATATAGCATTTGGCCTGAAAAATCCACATTACACTGAGTCACTGATTGGAGCTATACTTAAAAGATAAATAATGAAATAATCTGTGAAAACTAATTATTAATAAACGATTAATTCCTGAATCTCATGCTACTGTTTATGTACATAGAATAAGAAAATATTTTATTTGCTTCTTTTAACTGACTGATCATTTGTATGCTCAAAGAGCAGTGAATTTTCTCTTTTTAACCCAATCCATATTTCACTGTTAAGGAGGAAGTAAGTTCTTTTAGAATTTGAGAAAATAATTTTAAAAATTTGCCCTTCAGTTATAAGGGGGGGTATAAATTTAATTAATAGTAATAAAAGCAGAATAATGGTAAAAGAAGTCTGACAAAGTAAGGAATAAATGTAGATTTTCATAGACATTCTTGCTCTTTTGAAAAAGCACACGCTATTGTCTTTCCAATGTGAAAGCATAGTATTTCTCTATAACCAATGATTTTTACAATACCAGTGTTTCTAAACAAAGCAATTGGGATGTTTAACATGTACAACTATACTTTCAAGATACTACCGGGAAGTCATGCCTGGAGAGATTGTGAAAATATCCAGATACGATGTCCAAACATTAGATATTGTACCCAGACCTGAAGGAGATCCATCAGCATTCTGCATTTTTGAATATGTGTACTTTGCAAGGCCAGATAGCATCTTTGAAGGTAAACTATTCCCAAATCTTCTTTGATTTGGGATACATTATTTTAGACTTTAAAAATTTTACAGATCTTCCAAACAATCCTTTACATTTTCCTGGGTACTCTAGGAAAATGTCACAAAACAAACATTATGACAATGTTGACCGTATTATAGAATCAAGGGCAAGGCCTTCAGAATGTGTATGGAATTACATAGCATTATTTAACAATATGACATCATTAGTTGAAAGGCATTTCAATTCTTTGTAAATTCCATTGCTTTCTCTACAAGCAAAGGGTGGAATTGCGGTATTTGTAGGTGGAGTGTTGGATTGTGAAGTATTAATAGAGATTGTGGGGGCTTGGGAAAGGAATTGAAGAAAACACAGACATAAACAATCAAGTTTGCAGGCGAGTCAGTTGACAGCTTATATTATAAAGAGCAGCTTAGCCCAGGTGGGGAGAAATCAGGGAAGAAGCATTTCAAATCCCTCAATGAAAGTCTGCTTAATTAACTCAATATAAACGAGGGAGGGAAATTCCTATTATACTGTAGTTTTCATGATTCATATTTACGCATGCCAGCATTAAAGATATCTTACTGAAGACTATATAGTTCCAGCTTCCTGGTCTTGCCCTGATAGGTATTTCTTGAACCAGGGGCCAGGATGCATAATATGGGAATGGCTATGTAAATTAAAAATATCTGAGTATATTAGGTCACATTTTCACAAGACTTGGCCAACGTAGTTGGAACTTAGATAGGCCCTGCTCAATAAGCTGATTTGAAGCTTCACCTCTCTGTAGATGTGGATTTTTAAAAGTAGAAGAGAGAATTATGCCCAATTCAAAAATTTAACATACACAAACACACACAAGGTTTTTCATTCTTCATAGGTCAGATGGTATATTCTGTAAGAAGGCGATGCGGTCAACAGCTTGCTATTGAAGCCCCAGTTGAAGCAGATTTGGTTAGCACAGTCCCAGAATCTGCAACGCCTGCAGCACTTGGCTATGCGCAAAAGGTATCTCTCTCTCTCTCTCCGTTGTTATTGTTATCTTTTTTTAACTATCATTTAAGATCCACTTGAGCTCAATATAAAACATTATAAAATCATTATAAAATGAATTATAAAAATTTACTTTGGGTGTCTGTTACCTTTACTGTGAATTACAATACCAAATGAATAAACCATGTAACAGAGAAATAGAGGGAATACTGTTAATACAGACCTTTAGCACTTGGCCTTTCCTTTGTACAGTTCAAAGCAATGCATTAAAATCCAGTTCATATCAAACCAATTGTCAGTATTTGATGCAGAAGTATTTTTAATTATTTCACCAAAAATGTACTTTGATCACTGTGTTTGCTTGTTTTCAGTGTGGCTTACCATACATTGAAGTGCTTTGCAAAAACAGATATGTAGGAAGAACTTTCATTCAGCCAAACATGAGGTTAAGACAGCTGGGAGTGGCCAAAAAATTTGGAGTCTTGTCAGACAACTTCAGAGGAAAGCGAGTTGTCCTTATTGATGATTCTATTGTGCGAGGCAACACTATTTCACCCATAATTAAACTACTGAGAGAATCTGGTGCTAAGGAGGTACGTAAACATATCAGAACAGAGGGAGAAAGAAGGGAAGAGACACTTCATGACTAGCTGTTCTTCTCTCAATACTCTGCTGCTTCTCCACTAATAAGAGATGCAAACCCATTTGATTCTTCAACAGTTTCTTCTGTTCTTACCCTTCTCTTGTAGCATCTGAACTTGGTTCATGTTGCCCATTGCAAATTATGACACAATTAAAACACTGCCAGTATCATAATAGCATTTCCCCCAACAGGTGCACATCCGTGTGGCTTCACCTCCAATAAAATTTCCGTGTTATATGGGAATAAACATTCCAACAAAGGAAGAACTTATTGCAAACAGGCCGGAATTTCAAGATCTAGCAGGCTACATAGGTAAAGTGTTGTATTTTTCACTCAATGTTAGTAAAAGTTTCAGAAAGATAGGTGGGCTAGTCTACTGGAGCAAAAATAGTTTCTTGAAGATGAATTGAGTGATTACAGCAAAAGCTTTTGTGGATCCAAGTCTGCTTCCTCAGATTGCATAAAATGCAATCCTAAATTGAAGAGAATAAAGAAAGCAGATGTAGCAATACATATATAAGAGCTTAGTTGTTCTAGTAATAATTAATAAGGCTATGTTGGTGGTTAATGAAATAAGGCATTGCAGAAATTCATTTAAGAAAATTAATTGAGCCGTTTCACCTGTTTCTCTTCAGATCATGTAAAAGCTAGCATAATCCTCCTCTGAAATATTATGCTAATTTTTAGACACATTGAGATTGCAATTTTGTTTTGATTTATTGGGATTACCGCAAGCTCAATGGAAATCAATTGCTTAATTTTGAATGGATAATTTTACTTGTTGAATGAAGAAAATCTCTGATGTAGCCAAAGACACATCCAGAGCCTTACATTTACGAGGCTCTATATGGGGGTAGACTTTATTTTTTCTCCATCATTCCCTCCTAATGGACAGGGCGCAAAGGACTTTTTATGTTGTATAAGAGGCAGTGCCTGGCGGACAATTCTTCCTGGCACTTCCACACACACAAAACCATTCGCAGGTCAACCGTAGCAGCAGAGATTTTTGTGGTTAAATGAGATTTACACGAATTTATAACATTGATTTTTCTGCATATATTAATATCTTAATGCCTTTAATAAAACAAGCATATATTAATGTGCTGCAGATTTATATGCATGTAGCTAGTTAATTAAGAATATTATATTAGATTGTTATTAATATGGAATATTTAGAGTAGCTAACATATTTGGTCATTATTTCATTCATCTAAATAAGACAAACAGCATATTTTGCTGTTTATAATTGGAAATGCAGAGTGGCAATACATACGCAGCTGGTGTACAGGAAACCAAAATCTTTGGCTTAGGTGGGTCTAACAGCAGCGCTCAGAAGGCTTTTATTGCAAGTTTGATGATAATCAAGATTAACCCATGCTAACTGATCCCTCTATTTAAACAGTGTCAGGTCTTTGCTAGTGTTGGCTCTACACTTTGGATATCTCTTGAAACATACAGGAATTCTTATAGTTATTATGATGTAGTTGGAAAATAAAAAGATTAATAAAATCACATTTTAAGTCTAGTTCTTTTTTCATTGTTTTTATTGAACTATGATTGACAAACATTATCAAGTATCTAAATCAACATAAATTCAAGATGTATAAAGAAAAAAAGTTATAGAAAATACAAAAAATATTAGTGTAAATAAAGAGACAGGTACTGTACATGTACAAATTTACCATATATGTAAAGTCAGTAGTTCTAATGCTACAGTTACCAATTACTATATCTTATTAAAGATCTAAACATAGAAAATCTTTTGAGTTAAGCAATTTGATTTTTAGGCACTATAAAATAGTGCAGCTTCAATGAAATGTTACTGTTTTTTCTTTTCTTCAGGAGCTGACAGCGTTGTTTATCTTTCAGTAGAAGGATTGGTGTCATCTGTCCAAGAAAGCATCAAAGCAAGACAAGACAGTGAAAACCACCTAAAAACTAATAAGTTCCGAACTGGGAAAATCGGCCATTGTATAGCTTGCCTTGTTGGAGAATACCCAGTAGAGCTAGAGTGGTGAATTTTCTGAATGTTATCAGTAACAAATTACAGTTTGGAACTGATGAAATGGGTTGCTGCTAAGCAAGTGATCAAACCACTCATGTATTTGTTTAAACCTTATTAGGAGAAGGTAAAAAGGAGCATATAAGAATAAATTTTGAACAATCATGCAATAATGCTGTAGTGGGCGACAGTGGGGAGGGGGGAGTGTATGGGTAAAAGGCCTAGCAAAAATTTCTTGATTCCATAGGTGGCCTAATCCCACCAAAAAACTTTGGAGATCTTCTTAGGCTTTCACTCACAGTAATGGTTTCTTACAATTACATTATGAGAGGTTGTGAGCCATTAAGCCATCTCACATTTTAAGCAGCGTTCAATCGGAAAAAAAATGTGAATTTAATCTTAGGTCAACACACAGATCCTTAAGTTTCACTGCTTTCATTGCTGGTTTTTATCCAGCTATTTGGGATCCCTGTTTTTAAAAAGTGAAGTGTCTTGTTGTTTTTAAAGCTACAACTTTGAGTTATAATCTGCTACCAAAGAGACTGAATGTTATTTTTATACAATGCATGGCTGAGACAAGGAGACTCAGGGAGATGTTAAACAAAGTTCTCTTTAATAATTTGAGCCTTAATTCTTTCATGTCTGACAAATATACTTTCTGAAAGTAGCTTCATTGTTTATCAGAGAGGTCTGAGAGGAAAAAAATAAGTTAATCATCATTCGTGTATTAGACATTAGGGCGAATTTTCCCCAGTATGTTCTTTCAGTTTCAGTGCTTACTTAACTGTTGCCTGTTTTTGTTGCATGAAAGCCTTCAAAGAAGACTCCAACACTGAAAAATTAACACACAACTTTATTTCAATTATTTTAACAAATGTAATGATGATAATTTAATATATATTACTGTTTTATTCAGTGTTTCTCTTTTTAATATAGTATTTTTTGTGTTTTAAATGAATGCTAAGTCACTGTTATAATTCAGATCACATCTGTGATTGCTAGTAGAAAATAATTCTGGTCCTACTCCAAAGTCCTAACCTCTAAACAGCCTAACATAGGAGTTTGGTGTCTGTTCAGAGGTAGTTATAACTTTCCAAAAGGAAACTTTTAGGAGAAAACTGAGTCTGACTCTCAAGGTCCAGATACAAGAGGCATGGTTCATACCAACCTGTTTTTGATTGCTGCAAAAATGACATGAAGGACTTCTTATTGTGCTTAGTCTCTTGAGAACATAAAGGCCTATGTTTACCCTCCCTCCTGTTCTTTCTGTATTTCATTTACATATGAATGTGCAGATATCAAGATTCATGACCGGTAGCAAATGTGGGACCACCTCCTATGGCCCTACTCGTAGAATCTGAGCAGTCTCCTGATTAGGAATAAAAGAAGCATAATTTTCAAATATTACTAATCTCCACGTTTTGAATAATGTTTGTCAGCATAAGAACTAAATCAGTTGCACATATAACGCCCATTGGGGGACTGTACAATTTTTAAATATAAATGGGGGATGATGTTAATTCCTTTGAATGGTACTTAACTTTATTCAATGTGATTCTCTGCATTTCCATGTAACTGAGGAAAAACTAACAATTGTTCTGCAGAATTATCATAAAATTAGGACCAGGAGATTGCTGATTTGGGATGTAGAGAGCTTATTTCTCATTGTAGCTGAGTCCATTTGGTGAAAGGTTGGAGGTCTCAAAACTCCTCACCCAAATTTTTTCTGAATCTTTGTTGGGTTCTTAGTGTTCTCTGTGCTTTGCTTCTCTTCCTGCAGACGTTTCATTACCAGGCCAGGTAATATTAACAGTGTACAGATCTGAATACGCACACCTTATCTCTGCCTCCTGCTTCGGTATACAAGCATGATAGCTACTCTTGCTACCACCTGTGTTCCACCTGTGTTTCCACTAATTCCACTGGGTGAGAGAGAGAGGGCTCCCACAATCTCTGCTGCTTTTTTAGCAAATGAAAAACAAAAACAAAAAAGCAGAAAGGATAATAAATTCTATTGATTCCCTAATCCTGTAGTATTGGGATATGTGGCCAAGGGAATCAACCCTTCTTTTGCATTCCCTTTGGGAGATAGATCAGTTTCACAAGTGATAAATAAAATCAAACTTTATTTTATAAAAAGGAAAAGAGACTATAAAAATACCTTTTTAGCTTTATGTAGTCATATGCAAAACATTTAGCAGCAAAGAAGACAAAAATAGAGCCATTCCAATCATAAAGCATGACTTGAAAATATCACCCATTGGAAAAAAAAATTAAATATAAACGTGTTAGATTTTTAACTTATTTTTTATCTATTGTATGATACCTGGAGCCACAGTATCTGAACTGGGCAGCCATATAAATTAAATAAAAATACAGAAGCTATGGGTAGACCATAAAATGATGCTAGTCTGCACTCACACAATCCAAAGTCATACACAGTATTTCTAGCTAAACTTTTTTTACCTCTCCTTTCAGAGATGGCCATATATTGAAACAGTTTCCCTCTGTCTTAATTCTTCCTGAACTTCCCCTCTGGGGATTCCAGTCGGTTAATTCTAAAGCAGTGGGAAAGATGGAACAAAACTGTTTCTACTGTTAGTCTCTGTTCCCATGTCTCTCTTGTCCTGAATCTTGAATGAAGTTAACATATAATTGGTGATAGCGGATCAAGGCTTACCACCGAAGTATTACTGTCTGCTCCTTCTAGAATATTAGAGCTTCATAAGGGTCTAGGACCTTGCAGAGATCTTTGATACCACAATGAAGTTTTGCCTTCTCCAACCTATAAAGAAGGTTCCTAATTGGCTGAAGAGAATCAGAATGCATTATCAGGAACGCCATGCATTAAGACAACTGTTGACACTTAGAAGTCAAGTGTAAAAATATTATGCCTTAACAGACTGCAGTTAATATGGAACACATTCCTCTAGGCAGAGGAAGTCATTGTTAATTCTTTTTCCATTTTAAATACAACCATTTAAAACATATGAGTAAGGGAAACAAATGAATAGATTTCAGAATGGTTAGAAGACCTAGTTTTTCTTTAAAAAAAAACAACTTAATTCCTATATGGAGAACTGCACAGAGAAACACATTGGATGTTACAGTACTATATGATGAAATGTAAATATACATGACATGTTTTAGCAATTGATTTCTTTCCCATGTCTGTACACAAGATGATTGTGTGGAAAAACAAATCAACTTTTTTTCACAATGTGCTTATGAATGGTTTTTAGTGCAATAACAGTTTAAGCTGGGAAGCTTTGCTTTCTTTTTTGATTTTCTGACACTCATATAAGTGGTAAAGAATTCATTCATGAAGAAAATGGGCTGGTAAGTGGTAAAGAATTCCATTCATAGAGAATTCATATAAGTGGTAAAGAATTCATATAAGTGGTAAAGAATTCCATTCATGAAGAAAATGGGCTGCAAAGTTCAAAAGATCTTACATTCCATAACTATTGCCTGTTAAATTATAAGGCTGCCATTGACAACAATGAGGAAAGGGACATGCACCAGAAATGCTATCCGGTTATAATGGTTATCTTTAAAAATAAATGGATTTTTTTTTTTAAAAACCCTAACTTTTTTTATTATTTTTAAGCCATGTGAATTACAGTATTTGAATGCCTTAATGGCCATTTGTGTTCCCTGCTCTGTACTGTGCCAAAGCAGTATTAACAATGTTAACTAAATTCAGTTTTCTCTATTTTTATCTTCTGAAGAATGGCCATGGTTCCTTAAGAAATGTAAATGTGCCAAATTAACGTTGAAAGTCATACAAATAACCATACAGTATTAGTAACAAGCATGCAACACACTCACCTTGGTTTCCAATAGTGTTCAGATAAAGATCAGTTTGGTTTATTAGATCTTTTAACTTAGTTCCAGCAAATTGATTTTTGACTTTTGGGAAGAGTAAAATACAATCCAAATACTTGAGAAAATGATTCCTTTGTGGGCTTTAAAAGTACTAAAAGGGCTTCTTTTAGGGCTAATACCTGAATTGCTTTCATCACCTCTAAAAAACTGAGGACTAGTTTTTATGAGGATGAAAACGAAGCTTTTTGTCTATTCTTCACAAAAAAACCTTCAGTCTAAGGTAATACGGTGAGCTGTGGAGCACTGCAGAGATTGAATTCCAAGCTCCCCAGATTCCATAACTAACAATCTGATTGAAACCAATTCTCCGATTTAAATTTTCTGTGTTACACACCAATATAAACCTCATGGATGAAATTACATCAGTTCCTGGAAAATAGCCAATATTTATTTGTTAAACTTATATGACCGCCCAACTCACACACGGTGACTCCGGGCAGCTTACAGAATTAAAATCTGCAATACAGAAAGCCCATCAACCCCCTTGCAGTTTCTATCAACCACAATCAAATCAACCACCTGATCCCCAGGTCCTTCTTCAGGGCCTTCCGGAAAAGTATCAAGGTTGGAGGCCATTCTTATTTCCAGGGGAATGATATTCCATGGGGGGGAGCCACCACAGAGAAGGCCCTTTTACGTGGTCCCGTTAGATGTACTTCCCTCTTAGATGGGACCTGCCTCTTCCCTCTGGTGGCCGGAGTAGATGTAACTGGAGAAAGGCAGTCCTTCAAATAACTAGGCCCCAAGCCACAGAGGGCTTTAAAGGCGATAACCAGCACCTTGAATCGAACCCGGAAGCAAATCAGCTTCCGCAAAAGAGGTGACACATGCAAATCTAGACCTGTGCAAAACTATGCAGCGGGCTGCTGCATTTAGAGTTATACATTATACATTCAGCTCCGTGCACGTTGTTTTGATCCACATCACAGACCTGGCTTTCCTGTCCTATACTGTACGTGACCTGTGGATTTTTTTTTAAAAAGGAAATTATAATACGACAAGCAGTTTGAAGTAGATCTACGGAAGTGTGCATTTGAAGATTTCTTGAAACATTCAGCCTCACACAACATTATACACCCAACATAAAGTAGTTCATCTTGAGTTTTCTTTGCTGTTGCTGCAGTTAAATAGTTCCCATAGGAACTAATAATTCACCCCTACCAGTGTTATCCTGGCTTGGCATTTTACACTAAATTACCAATCAATCAGTTTATTACAGTCATAGACCAGTACAACTAAAAATGCACATAATATGTCTACTTAGAAGTCTTAGATATATCAAGTACAATCTATATCATAATTATAATTTGGCCACCTAAATGTCATTTATACATGAAGTCAAATGGCCTATCCTATAGTGTAATTATTACTCCTT